ATAGTTTTTAAAGTGTAAGTTTTCACTTACTTTGCATATACATTCCTGTTTTATTCTTTGGGATTCCAATGTAAATGAAATTTTTAAAATTGATTTTAAATTTCTCCCAAAGAAGATTCACTCCACACCTCCACCCCACAGTCCCCAAAATAAATTGATTTTTATATTTTTATTGAAAATGTATAAACATACTACTTACTTTTGTATACTGATCTTGCATTCTGTAGACTTGCTGAACTCATTTAATAGTTCTAATAGTTTTTAAGGGGTTACTTAAAATTTTCATATACAAGATCATGTCATCCTGTTACCTTTTGTTTGTTTCTCTTACTAATTGCCCTGGTTAGAACCTCAGTTACAATGTTGAATAGAAGTGGTGAAAGTGATATCCTTTTCTTCTACCTGATACTAGAGAAAAGCATCCTGTCTTTTGGGATTAAGTATACTGTTACCTATAAGCTTTCCACAGATGTCAAGTTGGAGAACTTCTCTTCTATGACTAGTTTGTTGAAAGAAACATATCATGAAAGGGTATCAGATTTTGTCAAATGCTTTCTGTGTGTATATTGAGAGGATCATGTAATTTTTTTCTATTTTTATTCTATGAATACAATGTATTACTTTAGTTGATTTTTGAATGTGAATCCAAACTTGCATTATTTAGATAAATCTTACTTGCTCATCATTCATAATTATTTACATATATTGCTGTATGTCATAGAATGAAATTAACTTTGTGTCATTGGAAGGTTATAGTTGTCAATCAAAAATTAGGATATTATGGGTGGTGGATGGTATACAGAGTATCTATTTGAGGATAGTGATCACAAAGTAAAATAAAACAAAGAATGATAAAATGATGGCAAAATTATAAAGTCAAATAATAATAGTGATTGCTACTATTTAATGCATATTTGCCGTGTTCCAAGGATTGTGTTAAGCATTTTATATGTATGAATTCATTTATTCCTTATATTAACTCTATTAAAAAACTGTTATCATTATGTTCATCTAACAGATGAAGCAAAGACACAGAGAACTTAAATAACTTGCTTAAGGCCACATAGCAAGACCTGCAAGATTAGTATATTTGGCTTCTTACTGACGTTAAAAAAGTCTTATAATAGAAAGTTTTAATGAGCTATTTAGGAGATGGTTCACTTTGGATAATGAAAACATGCACAGTATCAACATGATAGGATAATGGAAAAGAACATTTTTGGAGCTTAATATTTAAGGAGTTTGAAGAGTAAGATGAGATATACAAAGAAAATTTAAATATCATAGAGAGGAAAGGAACAGAAGATTAAGGAATATGGGCTAGCTGGTAATGTCTGAGTCTAAAAGAATAATGCCTGAAACTTTGATTGAGGACCACAAGAAAAATTATAGAGAAGGTATACAGTTAATTGTTGAGAACTCCGAAAACTAAGAATAAGCATATATTTGGAAAACAAGAAGGATACAAACACTGCTCTCAAATTTAAGATATGTGGCACATGAAAATAAAATAAAGCCTTTCCACCTTAAGGACTGAAAAAAATGGTATATTAAGAGGAAAAAAAATTACATCTGAAAAACAGATGTAAAGGGGAAATTCAGAAAATAGTTGTAGAATATATGGAACCTGATGACTAGGCATTGCAGAGAACAAAATGGGAAAGGAGTTAGGGAGGGGAGAAGACTTTAATCAGCTAAGATCATAAATTGGACAGATGGAAATGAGAGTTTAGAATCTAATGGATTAACAGAGAGATTTTTCATTCTCGCATTGACAAAGATTTAAAAAGAGGATGCGAAAGATGGTAAATTTCACTTTACATGTGTATTTATGTATGTCCTTAAGCAAGAGGGTATTGGTCTAAACACTCTGGGTTATGGATATAATTGCTTTTTTCCTTTCAAATGGAGATGAATACCTTAATATGGTAAAAAGTGGTTTTATGTGAGATGTCTCATTTTACCTTCTCCCTGCTAATAGTTCTGACTTTTATTCTATTAAATTACAGAAAGAATATCAGGTTTTTAGTCAAATTTGATTTTAAAACTTTAGAAAGTTCCTGGGAGAATCAGAGGATCTAGATAACTCAGAGGTCATCTTTAGAATTGTCCTATGTCAACCTAACTAACGATGTTGACAAATATTAAAAATAGAATAAATCATTTATCAAAAAAATACTAATTTCTACATCAGCAAGTCCACTTCTCTTTACTTACTTTGTGTCTGGCTGCTTTTTGGCCCTATTACATGGGCAATTCAGCTTCTAACATGTAACTGAGTGAGAATATGCTGGTTTCTTTCATTTATTATTAGGTTTACAGCTAACAAATTATGAAGTAAATAATGCCAAAGAACATTCATTTATACTTTGTATAAAGAGGATCATAGGATTGCAAGTAAATTAATTATTGGCTAAAACAGTATATTGATTTCATGCTGTTTTATAGATATGCCAACTTTATGATGACCACAGTGTTTTTTATTAAATGTAAAAATAAAAAAGAGCAAGAATATTTGAGAGTCATATTTATCTTAAAATTGTTTAAAAAACATCCAAGCACATCAATGCAGTGAAGTTCTTATGGTGAGAAGCACTTCTCACAGTGTTACAAACTGTGAAAATAACACATTTCATTAAAATAGGCATCTGTGAGCTAAGCACTAAGTCACACAAGCAAACGTAAGAGGGAGAAAGGGAAATCTTTCAAAAACAGTATTCTCCGGTGATTTGGTGTCAGCTGCAAATATTCCCCGTTCTTAGTGTTTTGTTATCCTAAAGTCCCCTTGGCTGCCATTAAGTAACCAACAATGAGGCTTGTAACTTTGAAAATAGATTTTTAAATGCATGTACATATACATGGGGATTGTGAGGTGGAGGTATGGAGTGAATCTTCTTTGGGATACAGCAATCCAAAGAGCCAGAGAACGATGAAGAGACTAGAATTGACCTTATACCAAGAACATTTCCATCAGAAATGTAATAAATAAGCTGTCTCTGAAAGATTTAGGAACTCATGCAGAGGGACTGGAACCAAACGTGAAGGAGCACATGAAGAAAAAAAGAAATTTGCTTTAAAAAATATTTGCAAAATTTTTTCAAAAATTTAAATAAAGTTATTTTTCTGCCTATAAAATTAAAATATTTCTTATGGAGGAACTACAAAAGAGCTGAAAACTAAAATGATGAAAATTAAATGACCTATAATCCTGTATCAGGTGATATTTAAGTATTGAGGAGTATTTATTTCATGAATCTATTATCTCTATAAGTTCATATTTTGTATACATATAAATGACCGTATGTAATCATGGATAACTGAATATATCTCTAAGTGTGTACATTACATATACACTTAAATCTCCTTTTACATATGTATATTGACTGTATCCCAGGTAAATGCTTAATTTAGTAAATTCAGTGTTCTTTTCTTCCTCAAATCATCTAACGAGAAATAGTGCCATGTTTTATAAAATATTTTCCATTGTATTGTAATTATAGTTACTATTCTCATTTCATTATCCAGTACCTGTCATTTAGTAACACATTTCCTCGCATTCTGTTTTAAAATTTTTATTTGTATAAATTTATGGGGTTCAAGTGTAATTTTGCTACATGCATAGATTGAGGAGTGGTAAAGTCAGAGCTTTTAGAGCATCCATCACCTGAATAACATACATTATACCCATTAAGTAATTTCTCATCATCACCTTCCTCCCACTTCACCTCCATTTCAAGTTTCCATTTTCTATCATTCCACGCTCTATTTTTCTGTGTAGACATTCTTTAGCTCCCCCTCGTAAGTAAGAACATGCAATATTTTGCTTTCTGTGTCTGAGCTGTTTCACTTAAGATAATGGTTTCCAGTTCCATCTATATTGCTGCAAAAGACATGATTTTATTCTCTTGTATGACTGAATAGTATCTCATTTTCTTTATTCAATCATCCATTGATGGACACTTAGGCTGATTTCATATCTTTGCTATTGTGAGTAGTGCTGTGATAAATATACCAGTGTAAGTGTCCTTTTGATATAATGATTTCTTTTCCTCTGGATAGATACTCAGTATGCTGAATCAAATGGTAGTTCTATTTTTAGTTCTTTGAGAACTATCTATACTGTTTTCCATTAAGATTGTATTCATGTACATTCTTACCACCTGTTTATAAGTTCCTTTTTTATAAGTTTGTAAGTGTTCCCTGTTTTTCTGCATCTTTGCCCATATGTGTTTTGTCTTTTTAATAATAGCTATTCTGACTGATGCAAGATGATATCTCCTTGTTGTTTTAATTTGCATTTCTCTGATGATTTGTGATGTGAACATTTTTTTTTCATATGGTTATGGGCATTTGTATGTCTTCTTTTGAAAAATGTCTAATCAAGCCCTTAGCCTACTTTTTAATGGTAGATATGTTTTTGATGGTGGTGGTGGTGGTGTTAGTTGCTTGAGTTTCTTCTAAATTCTGTATATCAATTCCCTGTCAAATGCAGAGTTTGCAAATGTGCTTGAGCTGGTTATTTTGATCAATATTTCAGCAGAATGCTATTTTCAAGTGGTTGTTTTAGAAAGATAAGGTGATATATTTTCTAAAACTTTGTAATATATGTGTAATGTCTTCATCAAAAGTTAACAAATAAATAAATGTTTTGATTTTTAATATGTGTTGGTGAGACAATTTTTCAACTGTAAAATTTCAAATGTTGTTCCTTCATCTCTTTCTAGCATTACTGTTGAAGAGGACACTGAAAGGTCTCTGAGAACAATTTAATTTTTTTGTCAGAGATAAAAATATTACATTGGTGCAAAAATAATTGCGGCTTTTGCCATTACTTTTAATGGCAAAATGATTTTACTTTTAATGGCAAAACTAGTGATTACTTTTGCACCAACCTAACATGACATTTCTTTTTTCTTTATGAGAAAAGTTATAGACTAAAAAAAAAAATCTTTACATGCAAAGTTTCTGTATTTCTTCCCTCTTTTCTTTCTCACCCTCAGGTCTAGATTAATAGCAGGTAATTGTGACAAGTCCAGTGTGGGTTACTGGTCGTGAAGAATCCATTGTTGAAGACATCCCAGAAGAGAACACTAAGTCTTATCTTTCATCTTACCCCTGAACTTCCCCTCCTCTGAAGGTAAAACACATAATATGTGCAAAAGCATAAAATGTTTACTGTGTTGGCTTGTGGTTTGAGGCCTAAAGTTATGGTTCAATGCTATATACTGCTCTGATATCTGGTAAAATTGAGAGAGACTAGAATGACCTAAAGCAAATTATCTTCCACACTGCTTCTGCAGTTAATGTTCCCCAGCCAAACAGCCCTTCCTATCAAAGAATTGTCAGATGCTCTGCTTACTCCTGAGGAGTGGGTTTCGGTTCCCTGACAGCCCATTGAGTTATTTAAATAAGGCGATCGTATTCTTCCTTGGGAACCAGGGAGCACTTCACCTTTTTGATAACGCAAAGCCTGCATCCCTCTGCCTCTTTCAGTTCACTGTAATCCCAAGTGCAACTTCTGTGTGGGCTTGTATGGTACCGGGCGCCCTTCTCTCACAGGCTATGAGTATACGTAACCAATAAACCGCTGGCAGTCTCATTTTTCTTGTGTCCAGTGCTGTGTGTTTGGCCATCCCTACAATCCAAGGGCAGGAAACTCTCTCCTATTAATGGGGTAAATAGGACATGTTTAAACCTTGGCCACTAAATGGATCATCATAATTTTGTTTTCATTCCTTTGATTTTTTTTTTCTTAATGCCTTCTGATCTCCCCTCTGATTGAAAGTATTCATTCACTTAACAAATCTTTATAGAATAATTTTATGCTAAGCACTTTTCAAGGTATAATGAGATAGTAGCAAATTGAAAAATACAAAAATTATATGTTCAAGCTCAAAAGTAAATTTCAAAAAGAAGTTAAAATAAATGAATTACAAAAAAACTAGGGAACGGGTAAAGTGTTTAAGAATTTGACTATTACTGAAAATATAGAAAACAAATCCTTGCCAAAAAGCCTAAAATTAGAGCTCAAAATTAGAATATTATATGCATGTTGGTTTTAAAGTCTTCTCCTGCAAATGTGGTATTATAAATAGAAGCTAATAATGATAGATTAACCTAAATTTGTCCCCGGTACAAAGTTATTTGATGCAAAATGCCTGTATTTAACAGACTAAAAGAAATCACAACCTTGTAACTTAGCATGGTTAATGAAAACAAATCACTTAAAATGCCCATCAACGTATTTAACTGTATTTCATGCCAGTACTTCAGGTAATTAATATCCTGCAACCTTACAGAAATTGCTTTTACTTCTCTGCCCATTCATCCTTATTTCAGTTTATGTTCTCATGTATTTATCTATGAGTGTCAAATTAGATTATACTTTGGAACTTGTTTCTATTCTTACTAAAGTATATTTAAGCATCACTAAAGTGAAGAAATCAATGCAATGCTTATGTGTTTCATTATATACACTAAGCTTTCATTCCTAAGGTTTTCTTGAGAAATCATTGGGCCTTGATATTTTGTAAGTCTCACTATCTTCTGCACAATGGCATTTCTATTGTCCTTTTCATCAATATCATTTGGGTTTATTAACCATCAGTGTTTTCTGGCTTTTTCTGCTTATGTTTCCCTGACCTACATAGATTCTTGACTTAAGGAGAAAATGGGTTGCTGGATAAAATATAGGACACTTAGTTGGATTTGAATTTCAGTTAAATACATTTTTAAAATATATCTATATAGGTATATATTTATATTTGTATGTTGCATGCAGTAATTGGGACAATTATATTTTAAAAACTGTATTTTGAACTGAAAAAATATTCTTTTTCCAATCTGAAATTCAAAACTGACTGAGTGCCCAGTATGCATCTATTTATTTATTTATTTTTTTACCAAATCTGACGAAAGAGGTGAACACAATGAGATAAACTATCTATGCACAACAACAAAGATTTTGAAAAGCAAACAAGAAAATACTGCTTTTAATGCAATGTAAATAAGATGTCTATGCGCACACAAACTCATTTCTATATTATTCTGAACATATATATTCTCATCGTAAAAAAGATTGAATCTGGCCATTATTTTACTAATAAAATTTCTTATCAATCTGAAAGGCAGGATATTGGAGACAGTTGATTTATATCACAATGCATAAAGCCATGTTGTGTTGGATACCCAAGAAACTAAGTTTATGTGAAATAAAAATGAATTAAAACTTCTAGAAAATGAGACTGACGTTTAGGTTGTGTGAAGAAACTAAAGGAAAACACGATTCCCACTGAAAACAGCTCAAGAAGCCACAACTCATTCATAAAATGCATTTGCTTAAAGACATCAGAAACCTACTAAAGCTATGAGAAACTGATAGGCAAAAATTCTGGAGAAGGGAGAAATATGGAGGCATGAGCTGAAGTTCTGCAGCTGGTTTATCCCTGGGCTCATTACTGAACTGAACCTGGGTTGCTTGCCTGTCACACAGAAAAGTCAAATACTGACACCAGGATTTACTGCAAGAGAAAGTAAGGCATTTATTGCAGGGCTCCAAGCAAGAAGAATTAACAGCTAATATTTAAGACTCGAACTTAATGATGGCTTACAAGCAAGGGTTGTTCAAGACAGAGGTGCGGGGATCTTCAAAGTGAGTTAAGGGCTGGGAAATTTCTGGAACTTCTTTATCCATTTTCTGGTTACAGGCTGGCAGGATCTATATGACAGCAGTTGCCATTTTCCATCCGGTTTCTGAAAAACTACTCGGGTCCATATGTCAAGATGTTATCTTTAGTCTCTATAGAGGACTGAGCATCTTATGACTGATTTACCTGGGTGACTATTATTTAAGTTAAAATTATCTTCTTCCTTAGCCGATTATTAATTTACTTCCCTAATTGCTGGTCATAAGACTAGCTAGCTGCCTGCAATTTCCTTTGAAGACACTTAATTTTTTTTTTTCCTTTGTTTCCATGCCAGGGCAGGGTAGGGGAACCCAGCAGGCTCCTAAGAGGGTCCCTGATCTACCTCAATTACAGTTAAAAATGGCAAGAAAGTCATTGTCCAAATTTGAATACATACTACTAGAGTCTAGAAACTCAAATTTTGTCCAGTTCGATTGTTGCGGTTGGGGAGGATAGAATAGCAGGAATTGTCTTGGTTACATGGGGATGGAGAAATAAAATTAGTGGTTTGTGAGGCCTAAAGAATTAGATTTTTCTTTCAACACATTTACTGATCTAAACATTTAAGTTAAACCGAGTTAAAATGGCAGGCAGAAAAGCCTCTGAAAATTTAAGAAATATGTATTTTTTGTTTCTGCAAAATTATCATTTTAATTATGATAATAGTCTTTTTGTTTATTGACTCTTATAGCAAATTCTTCACCTATTTTCTCTTAATTTCCTTGGACCACTTGGTTTCACTGTAAAGATAGTGTCCACCATCCTCAAACCCTTCAGTATTTATTTCCTATAAATGAAGACAATTTTCTACATATCTACCACACAACCATCAAGATCAGGATATTAGTATTGATATATCATTTACTCAAGAATAATTTGTCTAAAGACATTAGATGAGGCCACACAAGGTTACTAGTTATGCTGAGTTTGAGGGAGATGTGATATCTCACTGCAGTGGCAAAACTGAGAAGGCTGAGAAAGAGATGTACAAGTGGTAACAGTGCCCGATAAAGGACAGAAAACCCCAAGCAGAGTGAATAAGTTTGTGCCCAATTGAAGAGGCAGCTTGGTATATGGAGTCAAAGATTAAGTGGAGTAAGCCATAAAAAAGAATAAGCTCATGTCCTTTGTAGCAACATGGATGAAGCTGCAGGGCATTATCTTAAGTGAACTAATTGAGAAACAGAAAATCAAATACTCAAATACCATGTGTAGTCACTTATAAGTGGGAGCTACACAATGGGTATACATGCACATAAAGATGAAAATAATAGACACTGAGGACTCCAAAAGTGGAGAGGGAATGAGGCAGGTAAGGGCTGAAAAAGTACCTGTCAGGTATAATGTTCAGTATCTGGGTAATGGCACTAAAAGCCACGTCCCCACCAGTATACAGTATACCCATGTAACACGCATGCCTATGTACCTCATGAATCTAAGAATTAAATTGAATTTTAAAAAAGTAAAAAGTCTTTTGCAGGGCAGGATGGCCCAGCTTAGGATAGCCAGGTTAAACAGGGCAAGTAATACACACACCAAAAGATAGGGGTGAGGGATAGGCCATTGCAAGTGTCAGAGGCGGACTTGGCTGGGGATGGTATCCACATGATAGGGGGTGCACTGCTGCAACGAGTCAGAGAGAGAGCAAAGTGAAGAAACTTAACCCCTGGAAGGAGATATGAGTTCAAGTGCAGTAAGGAAGTTGTCTCCACAGAGCAATAGCTTACATGGGGTGTTAACATTGTTGTTTATTTTATAATAAGGTTCAAGTCATGTCCAGTCTGAGAAGGTTTGAGTCTCCTTCTTGTTTTTAAATTTGATAATTTTTCAACTTTTGTTTCTTTAGATTCAACTTGGTTTGGGATAGAGATTTTGGTAGATCAATAATTAGCTTCTTACCATATTTACAAAGTAGATTATGTGTTTTATAATCTAACTATTTTTGATTAATTTATTTGTGAGGAAATTTTTTGCATTTTATTTTAAAAAGTGTATATCATATATTTCTGTGATACAAGTTTCACGTCATTGAAAACGTGTAATGCCTTGAATATTTTTCAACTCAAAAAATGTTAAGATAAATAACATAAGATAAATAAAATGTTAACATATGTTATGTAGGAAATAAATCATAATTATGAGTTTTAATTTTTATTTTGAGATATTTTAAATTCTAATAATTAAAATTAAATTTAGAGAGTGCTGAATATTGTGAACTAGGAACAATCAGGTGATCAAACTCATATTTCTAGAATGCTCTCTGTACAATCACTTCATTCTTTCTGTACAGATAAAGAACAGAAACTATATAACTCTTTAAAGACTAATGTTTAGTAACCAATGTGTATTATATCAAATAATTTTTTGATTATGTGGGTATTTCTGAAGAGTATTGCCAACTTTTATCTCAGTTAACTAATGTGCAACGTTAATTTTCTAATTCAGAAGACAG